AAGAGGTCTTAAGCAAAGAGCATTCTGAATTCAATGCAGACAGAGAATGTTCGGATCAAATATTCATAATCAAATGGCAAATGGAAAAGAAGAAATTGGAATTCAAATTTTTTGCAATATTCGTGAACTTCACCAAAACGTTTGGATTCAGTTCGCAGAGATGCGCTGTTTAAAAGTGGGTGAACAGTATGACATCAAAAAACATTATTAGCATAACTGAAAAGATGCAAGAATTTTCATCAAATACTTTGCGAATTTATGGCAAAATCTACAAAGTCTGGAATAATGCAAGGAAGAGTGGAATCTCCATCGCTATTACCGATCCTTCTTGATGAGTGCTTCAACCAATTCGGGGTGAAGCTATAACTGCGGCAGTAGACAAACCCAACACATAACGAAATTCTCACGCATGAAAGTGAATGCTCGAAAATACAACGACGAAGAGCAAAGCCTTCACCCCACCATGTAGCATTACCTGACAAATGTTGAACTCGATCATTAGTTCTGAACAGACGGAGCTAAAGAACTCTATATGGATCAGAAAAAACATTTAAAGCGCCTTTTAGATGTTAAGAGTGGATCTGTTAGTACAGCAACTAATATTTACTCCTCCCATTAGTTACGGCTACCCATGCTTCACGTTCATTGATTACACCTTCATATGACTAACCTGTTCAATCAAGTCAGTCAACGGTGAACAACAAGTGATATTACGCGAAAAATAACCCCATACACGGTCAGACTCTGTTTTGACTAATGGACGAAAGGCCATATATGCCAAACAGTGCTTTCCAGTAAATTCTGGCTGCTATCTTGAAAATAAACTGAATTTTTCACGAATACAGTGAATCCAACTACTCAATTTTTGCGAAACTACTCAAGTGATAACGTGACTTACTCGTTAAGATATTATGCTTGTTAGACATACCGTTGTTGAAATAAATACTCATAAACATGATACTTATGAAAAGATAACTCAATGATCGGTAGCAGAATGATTTTATGCATGAAACAGATAGAAAGTTAAATGCAGTGATACTTCAAAAAACATCATTCGAGTTAACTAAAGCCCGATTTTGAAGATGGTGGTAGCATAGTGTTTTAAACGTTAAGCATAGAAATTTTCATCACCAACAGTCTCCCAAGGGATTAATCTGAACATATAGCACATCCCATTTGTTTAAAGGGGACAAAACTTCAAACTGTTTACAAAAGCGATTGGAACCACCAATCCATGCAATATTTTAAAAACGGTATATATAGGGTTAACCTTTTTAATACTTACTTCCAATGCTTCAAGGTAGTAGGAGAGTGACAGAGGGTTTTCGAACGATGTACAGCGGAGCCACTAGGCACCGACAGTTTTAAAGATGCAGTAAAGCTTGAGTAATAGTTTTAAAG